CAGGAAAAGACCGAAGTCGTTACTGTTGAACAAGAAGGCAAAGCACCTGAAACTACAGTTACCGTACAGGAAGAGGAAATTCTCGAAGAACCTGAATACATTGTAGAAGAATTGCCAGAACAAGTTCAAGAAACCACTATAATTGAAGATGGAATTTCTAAAAAGAGAACCATCAAAAAGCGTGTAATCAAAAAGAAGAAAGATGGCAAGCAAGAAAAGACCGAAATCGTCACCGTTGAACAAGAAGGCAAAGCACCTGAAACTACAGTTACTGTAGAAGAAGAGGAAATTTCCGAAGAACCTGAATACATTGTTGAGGAGCTACCAGAACAAGTTCAAGAATCCACTATAATTGAAGATGGAATTCCCAGAAAGAGAACTATCAAAAGGAAAGTTATCAAAAAGAAGAGAGGCGGGAAACAAGAGAAGACCGAAATCGTTACCGTCGAACAAGAAGGCAAAGCACCTAAAACTACAGTTACGGTTGAGGAAGAGGATATTCTCGAAGAACCTGAATATATTTTAGAAGAACTACCAGAGCAAGTACAAGAAACAATTGTATTCGAAGATGGAATTTCTAAAAAGAAAACTATCAAAAAGCGAGTTATTAAAAAGAAAAAAGACGGGAAAGAAGAAAAGACCGAAATCGTCACTGTTGAAGAAGAAGGCAAAGAACCTGAAACCACAGTTACCGTAGAGGAAGAGAAAATTCCCGAAGAGCCTGAATACATCGTAGAAGAACTACCAGAACAAGTTCAAGAAACTACTGTAATCGAAGACGGAATTCCCAAAAAGAGAACTATCAAAAAGAGAGTTATTAAAAAGAAAAAAGACGGAAAGCAAGAAAAGACCGAAATCCTTACTGTTGAACAAGAAGGCAAAGCACCTGAAACTACAGTTACTGTAGAGGAAGAGGAAGTTCCCGAAGAGCCTGAGTACATTGTAGAAGAATTACCAGAAGAGGTTCAAGAAACTATTGTTATTGAAGATGGAATTCCCAAAAAGAGAACCATCAAAAAGAGAGTTATTAAAAAGAAGAAAGATGGCAAGCAACAAAAGACCGAAATCGTCACCGTTGAACAGGAAGGGAAAGCACCTGAAACTACAGTTACCGTAGAGGAAGGGGAAATTTCCGAAGAACCTGAATACATTGTAGAAGAACTACCAGAGCAAGTACAAGAAACAATTGTTATAGAAGATGGAATTTCTAAAAAGAAGACTATCAAAAAGCGAGTAATTAAAAAGAAAAAAGATGGCAAGCAACAAAGGACTGAAGTCGTCACCGTTGAACAAGATGGCAAAGCATCTGAAACTACAGTCACTGTAGAGGAACAGGAAGTTCCCGAAGAGCCTGAATACATTGCAGAAGAACTACCAGAACAAGTTCAAGAAACTACTGTTATTGAAGATGGAATTCCCAAAAAGAGAACTATCAAAAAGAGAGTTATTAAAAAGAAGAAAGATGGTAAGCAACAAAAAACCGAAATCGTCACCGTTGAACAAGAAGGCAAAGCACCTGAAACTACAGTTACCGTAGAGGAAGAGATAATTCCTGAAGAGCCTGAATACATCGTAGAAGAACTACCAGAACAAGTTCAAGAAAGTACTGTAATCGAAGACGGAATTTCCAAAAAGAAAACTATCAAAAAGCGAGTAATTACCAAAAAGCATGATGGTAAGAAACAAACTACTGAAATTGTAACTGTAGAAGAGGAAGGCAAAAAACCCGAAACCACAGTGACTATCGAAGAACACGATTTTGTTCAAAAACCTGACGAAAAGAAACCTAAAAAGAAAATTGTCAAACGTACAAAGAAATCTGAAAAAACAGAAGTTGAAGAAGAAAAATACCTTTTTGTACCCCTTCTTCAACAACAACAGGAACTTCCCACTACTCCAGAGGTAATGGAAATGGTAAAGATGGAATTAATTAGAATAGTGCTTAATCATCCTCTACCAGAGCTACCTCAGTTGATTGACTTGCCAGTTGGACAACGGGTCTTGATAGAATATCCCGAGGAAATCTCTGAAAAGGAACTAGACGATGGGAGAAAAGAAACCACTAGAAAAAGGAAGATTAAAAAAAGAGTTGGAGACAAAGTAGAAGTTATAAATATAACAATTAGAGAAACTACCAATGAAGAACCTGTAGTGACAACCCAAATTACTGAAGAGGATGTAGTGCCCAATGAAGACATGAGCAATATGATCCCTGTTATTGAACTTCCAGAAGATACGGAAGTTTTTGAAATAAGCACGAGCGATAAGGTTCCAAAAAAGAAAATCACGAAAAAAAGAAAACTTCTGAAGAAAATGGGACCGAAAATTGAAGAAACTGACATAACAAGCATTTTTGAAGATGATAAACATCCTGAAAGTACAGCTGAAATTAAATTATACGATATTGAAGCTCTTCCAGTAGAAATAGCGAAATTGAAGCATAATTTAGAACTTATTGAAGTTAAACCTACTAAAGTTAGAGTAGTTGAAGCTAAGGATGTCCCTGAAGCTATTCAATTAAAACTGAAAAAACCCAAAGTGACCAAAAAAGCTGCGAAAGAAGAAACTAAGTTTCCCAAATTTCGTCTTAAAAGTAGAATTCGTTTCATTACGTTCCCAGCCGAAAACGAAGTCGAGAAGTATCCTGTTATAACTGATCTGCCAAAATACACTAGAGATCATGGAGAACTATCTAGAAATGTTAAAGAAGCGCAGGAATTGCTCAAAACTAGAAAACATAAGAAGTTCAAGGATATTGATCATAAAACTCCTCAGCTTGAAGATGTTGAGATTATTGAAATGCCTGAAAAAATTAAAAAAGATGATGAAGCAGTTCCGGAAAAATATAAAAAATTGCCTAAAAAATCAAGGGACATCGACGATAAAGATAAAAAGCTTAAAATTGGTAAAGGAAAATTGCCTGAGGATGATCAAGAACCAGAAATAGTTCATCTGAAGAAGGTGCCAGAGAAACCCAAAGAGGTTGCTGAGGAGTTAGTTAAGACTTCCAAGAAAAAGAAACCTGAAGAAAAACTTGAGAAATTAAAGGTTCTTGAGGAACAAGATAAACCGTTGGAATTCAAGCCCTATGATATAGACCAAGAGGAAGTTGAATTGGAGAAACCTTGGAAAGACGACGAAGAAACAGCAGAAAAATTGGACAAAAAACCGGCGGGCAAATATAAGAGAAAGCCCAAAGCTAAACCAACTCTTGAAAAAGAAGATAAAACAATTGTTTTGGGAAAAGGTGAAGAAAAGCCCAAAGAAGTCGAAAAAGATATAAGATTGAAGGCAAAGCAAAAGCCCAAGCCAGAATTGGAACTTGAGGATATTAAGCTAAAACCAATTCCAAAGGACACAAAAGAAGACATCTTGAAAAACTTCACTTTTGAAGGTCCAGAGTATCAAACGGCAACTGTGATATTCGAATTACCAGAAGAAATAGAAGAAATTGAAGAAGGTCCTGTGAAAAAAATCAAAAAACGCAGAACTATCAAAAAAAGAATGGGACCGGTTGAAGAAACCACCATAATTGAAACCGAAGAACCTAAAGAAGGACCTACAGAAACCACTGTTACAATTTCCGTGGATTACGTTGCAGAAGAAAATGAAGAAATTCCGTACGAGGCTGCTGAACTCGTAGAATTGCCTAAGGAAGAGATAATTGTGGAAACTAAAGAGAATGTTATTAAAAAACTAACGAAACGGAAATTCAAAAAACCCAAGACCAAAGAAGTAACTGAAATTTTAACTGTAGAGGAAGACCATAAGGAACCTCTTGTATTAGTAGTAAATTACTCCATCGAAAATCAAGAAGATGACGCAGAATCTGAACCATTAGTATTGCCCAGGATTAAATCCAAAAAAGCTAAAGAAATAGTCGTTGAATTACCTGAAGAAATTATTGTAGCAGATACGGACAACAAAAAGAGCATTAAAATTAAAAAAGTTTACAAAAAACTTTACAAACCAAAAGAAGAAATTGTTACAATAACTACAGAAGAGTCTCCGAACGAAGAACCAAAAGTAACTGTAGAAATTCAGGAAATGGTGCCTAAAAATATTGCAGATATTTTGGAGGCGACTGTAGTACAAGAGCTTCCTCTAATTACGGAAGTAGTCGAAGAAATAGTCGGTGAGAGGCCAATTAAAAAGAAAGTGACCAAACGAATTATACACAAGCCAGCTGAGGCCAATAGAACGGAAGTAACTGAAATTAAAGTAACTGAGGATGATCAAGAAGCAATTGTGGATGTTAACATATTCTTGTGTGATGAAAAATCTACACTGAAACCCTCTACACAAACATTTACGGTGGAATTGCCTGAAGAAATTACGGTTGACGAAATTCAAACTCCTCAAGGTCCAAAGCAAGTGAAAACCACCAAGAAGATAATAAAGAAATTGAAAAGTCCCAAACAAGAAACAATGACAGTTGAAACGATTTATGAAGAAGATAAAGCGCCTGAAACTACAGTAACAATTGATAATGTCAAGGACTTGTCACTCTTACCGGATAGTATTGAAGTTTTTGAAGATGCTGAGCAAATCCTTGAAGATAAAACTAAAAAAGTTACACAGAAAACTATTCATAAAAAGAAGGGAAGGAAAATCGCAACAACGAAAATACATACTGTAGAAGAAACCGATAAAAAACCATTAATAACTGTTACAACATTCACACATGACATTTCAGAGGTACCATCCGATGATATTTTAAACCTATTTGATACTGTAACACCTAAAAAACTGAAGAAACAACCTTTATCAATTCCACTCAATGAATTAGAAACCACAGATGTACACTCTTTAGAACATACTCAGGAATTAGGTGAGCACACAACACTTTTTATTATTAGCTTTCAGTTGAGGATCGTGACTTTCTTTATCTTTTTTTCGATTTCTCGTTGGCCAATTTCAACTGATTTAATGTAAAAATTGTCACAATCCTTAGCTGATAATTTGTTTTAAACGAAAATTAATTACGTTTAATTTTTTAGGCGAATTTATTGAAGAAATTCCTCAAGCCAAGGGCAAACTAGTCCACGAAGTCCGAGAATCAGTTACAATCGAGACTGTTATGTCTCAAAAGCCCGTCGAAGATGTTCCATTAATTGAAGAACTGCCAGAAGAAATTGAGACTGAAGAAGCTATAACTGAAGCTGGCGAGAAAAAGAAACGCACAATCAAAAAGAGGACTATTAGAAAACATCTCAAAGGTACTTGTGAAGATACTCACATAGTAACTATCGAGGAGGAAGGGAAAATACCTCAATCTTCTGTCACAATTGAAGAAGTTGATGAAGAAGAAATTTCACCAATCGCACCATCAGAAGAAACACCATATTATATTGAAGAACTTCCAGAAGAAATTATTGAAACTGAGATTGAATCTCTAGAAGGCCCTAAAAAGAAAATCTATAAAAAAAGAATACTGAAGAAGCGCAAAGGAAGCAAAGTAGAAACTACAGAAATATTCACGGTACAAGAAGAAGGCAAGGAACCAGAAACATCCGTAACTATTCAAGATATTACTGAAGAAGATATTGCACCAAAAATTGTAGAAGAAGAAAAACCTACATACATCGAAGAGTTACCTGAAGAAATTGAAGTGGAAGAAGTCAAAAGTAGATGGGGTCCGAAAAGGAAAACAACAAAGAAACGTGTCATCAAAAAACGTATTGGCGATAAACAAGAAGTAACTCATATAGTAACTGTGGAAGAGGAGGGTAAAGAGCCTTTAACGACTATTACTGTAGATGAAACAATTATTCCTCGGGAAGAAGTAGAGGCTTTACCGGAAGTTTTGCCAGAGTCTGCTATTGAAGAACAACCGGAACAAATAATTGTTACTGTACTTAATACCGAAGAAGGTCCTAGAAAGAAAACTATTAAAAAGAAGGTGTTTAAAAAACAGAAGGGAGATAAACAGGAGGAAACTTCTATTGTTACTGTAGAAATAGAAGGGAAGGCTCCTGAAGTTTCGATTGTAACAAAAGAAGTGGAAGAAGAAGAGGAAAAACCAGTTGAAGAAATTAAACCAAAAAAGAAAACGAAAAAACCTAAAAAACCTCAAGAATCATTAATAACTGAAGAAGGCTACTTATTTGTTCCAAGTTTGGCAGAAACTCAAATCAAACCTGAAGGCGTTGAAGATATGATCCAAATGGAACTTCTAAAGAAAGCATTGGCTCTCCAAGTTCCTGAACACATCCCAGGTGAAGAACAAGAAGAGATTATCCAAGAAAAGAAAGTAATCAAAAGAGTTATCAAGCGCAAAAAGCAAAAAATTGAAGAAATTGAAATCGAAGCTCCACTTATTGCCGAAGAACTGCCTGAAGAAATTAAAGTGGTTAAAACGACAAATGAGTTGGGTCAACCTGAGATGAAAATAATCAAAAAGAGAGTTATTAAGAAACGTAAAGGCAATAAAGAGGAAATAACTACAATCCAAACTGTAGAAGAAGAAGACAAACAACCACAAACAACTGTAGTTATTGAGGAAGTGGATCTACCAGAAGACGCACCAGAAATTGACACCGATAATGTAGTGATTGTAGAAGAAATTCCAGAAAGAACTGAAAAGAAAAAAATTATTAAGAAGAAGATAATTAAGAGACGCCGGGGAAGTAAACAAGAAAACACTGAGGTGGTTATAATTGAGGAAGTTGGGAAAACTCCTCAAACTACAGTTACAATCGAAGAAGTTGATTTTCCTGAAGAGGCTGTAAATAAACTTCCTGAAGTTGAAGAACAAACAATTATTATTGAAGAAATTCCCGAACAAGTTCAGGTATTTGAAGATGACACACGAAAAAAGATAATAAAGAAAAAATCAACAAAAACACGCAAAGGAAGCATACAAGAGACTAAAAAAGTGTATACAGTGGAGGAGGAAGGTAAAAAACCAGTATCGTCAACAATTGTAGAGCAAGTAGACCTACCCGACGAAATCTTAGAAGAATTATCATTACCTACATTTGAAAAAGCTAAGCCTGTGTTTATTGAAGATTTACATGAAACAGTTAAAGTGATCGATGTGCAGACTAAAGTAGGTCCTAAGAAGAAGATTATCAAACAAAAAGTTGTTAAAAAAGAGCCAGAAGAAGAAGCCGAAGCTGAGGAACAACAACCAATTATAGCTGAAGAACTTCCGGAAGAAATTCACATTATTGAAGATAAAGTTGTTAAGAAACGCGCTGTAAGAACTAGAAAAGGTAGCAAACACGAACTAACACAAATCTACACTGTAGAGGAAGAAGGCAAAGAGCCATTGACATCCGTTGTAATTGAGGAAATCGATTATCCTGAAGAAATCGTCAGAGAACTTCCAGCAATAACACCAGAACAAACGGTTATAATTGAAGAAATTAAAGATCAAAAGAAGAAAATAATTAAAAAACGCAAAGGAAGCAAACAAGAAACTACTGAAATCGTTATTCTTGAAGAAGTAGGAAAACCGTTTCAAACTTCAGTTGTTATTGAAGAAATTGAAATCCCTGAAGATATTATTGAGGCCCTACCAGAAACTGTAGAAGAACCAGTTATTATTGAAGAATTACCTGAAGAATCTGAAATCATAGACGATAAAAAAACAATTAAAAGGAAAGTTATTAGGAAACGCAAAGGAAGCAAACAAGAAATTACTGAACAAGTCACTTTGATTGAAGTAGGTAAAAAACCACAAACGACAGTTGTAATTGAAGAAATTGATATCCCTGCAGATATTTTAGAAGAACTAGAACTTCCCAAACCAAAAAGTAAAAAGCCAGTGTTTGTAGAGGAAATCAGAGGCAAAGTAAAAGTAGTCGAAACTGAAGTTTTCGAAGGCCCAAAAAAGAAAATTATCAAAAAGAAAATTGTAAAAGAGGAAATTGATATGCCAGAGGAAATAGTAGAAGAAATGGCGGAGCCAGAGGAAATAATAAAGGAACTTCCTGAAGAAATTAGTATCGTAGAGGACGAATCAGGCGTGAGAAAGATAACAAAAAAACGAACAATTAAAAAACAAAAAGGTGTCAAACAAGAAGTTACCCATATTGTCACTGAAGAAGAAACTGGAAAGAAGCCACAAACTACAGTTACTGTAGAAGAAATTGAAGCCCCAGAAGAGAAGGAAATTGCTGAACTACCAGTATACATTGAAGAACTTCCTGAGGAAGTGGAAGTCGAAGAAATTAAAAGCCGTTGGGGACCTAAAAAGAAGACAACCAAGAAACGTACTATTAGAAAACAACAAGGTGACAAACAAGAAGATACACATATTGTTATTGTAGAAGAAGAAGGTAAAGAACCGTTAATTTCAATGATCGTTGAAGAGACTATCATTCCCCTGGAAGATACAATTCTTAAACCGCAAGATACTGAAATATTTGAACTACCAGAAGAAGTGAAGACAATTGAAACAGTTACACCAGAAGGAGTTAAGAAAGAAAAAATCAAAACAAGAATTATTAAGAAAAAGAAAGGCAAGAAACAAGAACAAACTGAGATAGTTACTGTAGAAGAAGTAGGTAAAAAACCCAAAACCACAATCACAATCATAGAAGAAGATCTTCCAGAAGAAATTGTTAGAGAAGCTCCTGTACCAGAGATGTTACAAGCTAGTTTAACATATATTCAAGAATTACCCGAAGAAATTCAGGAACAAGAAATTATCGATGAGAAAGGTAGGCCAAAGAAGAGAATAATTAAGAAACGCATTATCAAAAAACCTAAGGGCGATAAAGAGGAAGTAACTGAAATTATTGTAACCGAAGAAGAAGGTAAAGCTCCCGAAACTACTGTTACAGTGGAGGAAGTTGATAAGGCACCAATCAAAAAGAAAAAGACCAAGTCAAAAGAACCAAAACACTTAAGAAGAGAAGTTTCAGTATTATTGCCACTAGAAATTAAAGAAGTGAAATTCCAAAAAGTGAAAATTGTCGACGCCAAAGATGTGCCATTATTTGGTGAAGTTCAATTACGTAAACCCAAAAAGCCTGTACAGCGCGAAGAGGTTTCTACCAAAGTCCAAATACCAAGGCTCAAGAGTCGTATCCAACATATACCTTTCCCACCTCTTTCTGAAACTGAAAAACTGCCAAGAATTTCAGTATTGGAACCTATTTATAGAGACAATGGAATTTTGTCTAGAAATGTTCAAGAGGCTGAAAAGGTACCTAAAACAAAGAAAAGACGTTTGAGGGATAAAGACTTAGGTCACAAACATTTGGAGAAACTGGATCTTGAATTGGAGGAATTGAAAAAGAAAGAACTGGAAAAGGTTGATGAAGATTATAAATCGGAAAAAATGCCTCGTAGGAAATCCGAAGCTCAGGAAGAACCTAAAAAGATTAAAATTGGCAAGGGCAAAGTTCCTCAAAAAGAAGACGTCGAAGAAAGCGTAACATTGAAAAAAATCCCCGAAAAGCAGGAAGAAAGTGAAGAAAAGCCTGAATTGAAACCTGTAAAGAAATCTACTGAATCAATTAAGAAACTAGAAAAACCTGAAGATGAGGAAAGAGATAAAATTAAATTTGAACCGTATGATATTGATCATGTTGCTCCAGAGCTGGAAAAATATGAACCTGGAAAGCCCGAGGAAGAAGAGCCTGAAGAAAAAATACCTGCAAAGGTAAAGTTAATCAAGAAGAAAAAAGTTAAGCCATCGCCAGAAACTGAAGAAGCTCAACTGGAGCTTGGCATACCAAAACCAACCAAACCTGAAGAAGAACAAGATATTTCACTAAAATACGCTCAAAAACCAAAGCCTGAAGATGAACCTGAGGAAATTAAATTAAAACCACACAAAAAAGCTGAAGAAGATGAAGAATTTAAGGTTAAAGTAGACAGGGTAATGAAATATGATGCTATTGTCACTGATGAAGGGCCCGATATTGAAATGGAGCTCAAACCTGATGAAGATAAGGAAAAACCAAAACCAAAGAAAACTAAGAAGATTATTAAACGTAAAGGCTCAAAAGTAGATGAAATACGTATCGAGGATTTGGACGTCCAAGAGGCAACTGTAGAGGAACTGTTAGATACAGTTGAGGAGGAAGAGCTCGTACCAAAAATAGTGGAAGGTGTGCTAGTTGAAGAACATAAGCCAGAAGAAATCACTGCTATTGATGAAAAAGAAAAGCCAATAGAAGAAGTAACTGAAGATCAAAAGAAAAAGATATTGAAGAAAAAGAAAACTATAAAAAAGGTTCCTAAGGAGAAATCTCCTGAAGAACAAGAAGAGGAAATTGTCGAACATGAACAAGAAGAAGTTCCTGAGCAAATGGAAAAGCCAATTATGGAAGTACCTCAACCTGAAGAATATGATGAAAAAACAATTGAAAAAGAAATTAAACCTGAGGAATCCATCGAAGAAACCAAACCAGAAGAAAAACCAAAGAAACCTAGAAGAGTTATACCAAAACCAGAACCAAAGAAAGACAAAATTCCCAGGCTTAAGAGTAGAATGACTCATATTCCTTTCCCGCCCCAAAATGAGTCACAAAAAATTCCTCAAATATCTGAACTTCCTCCAGTTTACAAAGATTCTGGGATTCTTTCGCGTAACATAGAAGAAGCCGGTAAAATACCCAAGAAGAAGAAAATCAAAGTTAAAGATTATGAAACCGATCTAAAGGATCTAGAAAAGTTGGACCTCGAAGTTGAAGAATTGAAGAAAAAAGAAAAAGAGACTCTTGATAAGGATCTATTCACTAGGCCTGAGAAGAAAAAGCCAAAAGATAAAGTTGAAGAAGATACTAAATTGAAACTTGGTAAAGGTACGTTACCTGTAGAAGCACCCGAAGATGAAGATATAAAATTAAAGAAAATACCTGTGAAGAAACCTGATCTTAAAGAAGCAGAAACTCCGAAAATTAAGGATAAGCAACAAAAAGAAAAACCTGTGAAACCCAAAGGTGAAGAACAAGAAATTAAAGCGGAACCTTTTGAGCCTTATGATATCGATAGAGAATCTCCTGAAAAAGAAACTCTTGATCTTTCAAAACCCGAGGAAGAAGAAGAACCATTAGATGAAAAAGAAAAACCCAAAAAAGTCAAAAAGAAGAAGGAAAAGTTAGCACCAGAAACAATTGTAGCAGAACTGCAACCAGGAATACCCAAGCCAAAAGAAACCGAGGAGATTCCTGAAATAAAACTCAAAAAGAAACAGAAACCAAAGCCTGAAGTGGAAGACGAAGAAATAAGTCTAAAACCACACAAAAAAGAAGAGGGCGATGAAGTTTACAAAGTAGAAATTGATACTATAATGAAATTAGATACTATTATTTCCTTTGAAGGGCCTGAAATTGAAATGGAACTCAAGCCAGAAGAAAAAATTGATACTGTTAAAACTAAAAAGAAGGTTATTAAAAAAATTAAGAAACCAAAGGAAATATTAGATATTGAAGATAAGGAGGTTAAGCCAGAAGAGTCGGAGGTTATCGAGGAAGAGGAAATTGAAAAAGAAGATAAGAAGCCTCAAATAGAAGAAACATTGGCTGAACTAGAAAAAGAAGTGCCTTCTGAAGAGACTCTGTTAGTGGAAGAGGAAAAGATAAAGAAGAAAGTTAAGAAAATTAGAAAGCCCGAAATTTCTGAGGTAGAGAAACTAAAACCCATCAAGTTAATAATTAAACGAATTCCCGCAGAAACTCCCAAAAAACCGGTAATAACTGAACAAGTTAAACCAGAGTTTGCTGAGATTAAATTGAAGAAAGTAAAGCCTGTGGAGAAAAAACCGGCAGAAGAAGCTCTTGTACCCACGATACGACTTAGAAGTAAATTGGAGTTGGTAGAATTCCCACCTTTCGGTCAAAAAGAACAAAACGCAATTATTACAACTATCGAGCCTGTTTACAGGGACAATGGGGTAATCTCCAGGAATGTCGAAGAAGCTAAAACTGTTAAGCCAAAAAAGAAAAAATTGGTAACTAGGCTAAAAGAATTGGAGAAAGTTGATAAGGAATTTGAAGAAAGCAAAAAACCATTGGAGCAAGTTGATGAAGAATTCAAAAAGAGACATGATAAGCCCAAAAAGGAAAAACTAATACCAATAAAAATTGTAAGAATAGAGCATAAGCCACAAAAGGCCAAACTGATTGATTTAACTCCTGAAGTTGTCAATTTTGCTGAAATAAAACTAAAAAAATCTAAACCAGTTGGTACCAAAGAACCTGTTCAAATGGTGGCACCCAAAATGAGACTCAAAAGCAGAATTAATTGGGTTGATTTTCCTCCTATTAACGAAATTTTACAATCTTTAGAAATTACTCATATAGGAGCTGTAAAAGATAATGGAATAATTTCCAGAAACGTTGAAGAAGCTGAGAAAATTAAAAAGACTAAACGTAGAAAGCTCAAAGACATTGATAAAGAAATTCAATCTTTGGAAAAATTAGATTTGGAATTCGAGGAACTCAAGAAAGTTGAGCCTGAAAAGGTGGATGAAGCCTATAAATTTGAAAGAAAACCAAAGAAGGTCCCAGAACAAGAAGAAGTTGAACCAGTGGAAATTAGGATTGGTAAAGGCAAGATGCCACCAGCTGAGGAAGAACCGGAAGAAGTAAGGTTAAAGAAAAGACCAGAAAAAGTCAAAGAGGAACAAGTTGAAGAGATAGTTAAATTAAAGAAAACTAAACCTGAAATATTAGGAACTGAAGAAAAATTGCCAGAAAAATATGTAGATAAGCCCGAATTTGAACCATTTGACATTCCTCATGATGACGTAGAAAAGTTGGAATATGAAAAACCAGACTATCCTGAAGACGATAAAGAAAAACCCGTTAAAACCAAAACAAAACTCAAAAAACCGAAAAAGGAAAAACCAGCTCCTGAAACTGAAGAAACCATACTTCAAAAAGGCATACCCACCAAGCCTTTAACAGAGGAAGATGAAAACGTTATTATGAAAGCTCCTAGAAAACCTCTTCCTGATGAAGAAGTTGAAGAAATTAAATTGAAACCACACAAAAAACAAGAGGAAGATGAAGAATTTAAAGTTCAAATTGATAGTGTAATGAAACATGATACCATAGTGACTATGGAAGGGCCTGATATCGATATGGAAATAACTCCAGAAGATGATGTTGATAAGCAAAAACCCAAAAAGAAAAAAATCATAAAGAAGGTTAAACGTAAAGATTCTACAGTAGAAGTTCAACAGGAAGTTGAGGTTGTTAAACATGAAGCTGAAGTTATTGAGCTTCCAGAGGAAAAAATTTCAGAAGTAGGACAAAAAGATGTCGAAGAGAAGCCTGAAGAAGTCGAATCGATAAAGCCTCAAGAATTGGTTACAAATGAGGTTGAAGAAGAAGCGACTGTGGAAACAGTGGTTAAGGTGAAGAAACCAAAGAAAAAGATTCCAAAAGTGGAAGAAGTGCCAGCTGAAGCTGAAGAAATCATAGAAGACACTGAGGTTACTGAAAAGGTTATTAAAAAGAAGAAGATTCCGAAATCTAAACCAGAAACTGAAGAAAAACCAGAAGAATCTCAAGAAATGAAAGAAGAAATTGAACAACCAGAAATAATATCTGAAGAAAAACCACAGAAAGATAGAAAGGAAAGTTTGCCTGAAGCTCTAGAAGCTAAACCTAAAAAACCAAAACGACCTTTACCAAAACCAGAAGAGAAAAAAGACAAAATTCCGAGACTAAAAAGTCGAATCACCTATGTACCTTTCCCGCCACAAAGCGAAGCAGAAATATTACCAAATATCACAGAGCTAGAACCAGTTTTTCGTGATAATGGCATTTTGTCAAGGAATATTGAAGAAGCTGCTAAAGTGAAAAAACCAAAACGCAGAAAACTTAAAGAAGTTCCTCACGAAATGACGGATTTAGAAAAACTTGACCTGGAATATGAAGAACAGAAGAAAAAGGAGCTCGAAAAGGTCGATGATGCTTTCAAATATGAAAAGAAGCCTAAAGAAAAGCCTGAGAAACCTGAAGAAGATCAGAAATTGAAAATTGGAAAAGGCCAGCTACCTAAAGAACCGGAAGATGACGAATTGCCAAAACTAAAGAAAGCACCCAAAATCCCTGAAGTACCTGAAGAATTTGTTGTTGACATCGAGAAAACGAAAGAACCTGAAGTTGCTAAACCAATTAAGCAAAAAGATACGGAAGACACAGAAGTCCCACCATTCGAACCTATAGAAATTGTAGATGATGAAGTTGAAAAGGTCGAACTCGAAAAGCCCGAATATCCAGAAGAAGATACTGAGCCTACCGAGAAAATCAAGGTGCCACTTAAGAAGAAAAAGATAATAAAGCCTGAAGAAAAATCTGAGGAGATTACTCTGAAAAAGGGCGAACCTAAACAACCACAACAGGAAGAACCTGAAGAAATAAGTTTGAAATATAAACAAAAACCAAAGCCTGAAGAGAAGGATGAGGATATTAAACTAAAACCTTTCGAAAAGGCAACTGATGAGACAGAACCTCTCGAACCAAAACCAACAGAGGAGAAGCCCAAAGAGATTGTACCACCTTCCAAGAAAAAGTCACTACCCAAAAAGCCAGAAGACAAAAAGGCGGAATTAGGATTCAGATTAAAGAGTAGAATAAATTATGTGGACTTCCCACCTTCAGCAGAATCCAAACAAACTCCTTTGGTAAAAGATTTAGAGCCTGTAACTAAAGACAATGCAATCTTATCAAGGAACATCAAAGAAGCTGATGAAATCAAGCCAAAGAAAAAGAAAAAGAAGACTGAGCCGAAACTGGATCACCTCGAAAAACTAGATCAAGAGCTTGAAGAATTGAAAAAGTCACGTGAAACTGTTGATGATGAATTTAGAAAACGACCAACAAGACCTAAAAAAGAAACGCTTGTACCTATAACTATTGTAGTTGTAGAAGTCAAACCTCAGAAGGCGAAAATAGTAGATCTAACACCTGAAGTAGTCAATTTAGCGGAAATTAAATTGAAGAAACCCGCGAGAAAACCTGAGGTTAAGGAACCACAACAATTAACAATACCAAAACTTAAATTAAAGAGCCGAATCAATTGGGTAGATTTTCCACCACTCAACGAATTACTTCAAGAACTTAAAATAATCGTAATAGGAGCTGTGAGAGATAATGGAGTAATTTCCAGAAACATTGAAGAAGCATTAAAAATAAAAAAGAAAAAGCCCAAGAAATTCAAGGAAGTAGACAAAGAATTAACGGATCTTGAAAAACTTGACCTGGAATTTGAAGAATTGAAGAAAAAAGAACCTGAAAAAGTGGATGAGGCCTACAAATATGAACGTAAGCCAAAAGAAAAACCTGAAGAGCATGAAGAAGAACCACAAAAAATTAAAATAGAAAAATCCAAGAAAACTCCTGGAGTGCCCGAAGAACCAGACACGGTTACTCTAAAGAAACGCCCTGAGAAGAAGGAAGAAATTCTCCCAGAAGAAACCGTTAAAGTCAAACTTGTTGCAAAACATGATACCGACGTCACAGATAAAGAACCACAAAAGGAAGTTGAAGCACCTTCATTTGAACCGTTCGAATTCAAATCTGAAGAAACTGAACTTGATAAATTTGAACCTCCAGAGCATGAGAAGCCAGAAAAACGGAAGGTAATTAAGAAAAAACCTGGTAAAAAACCTGAAGAAGAAGAAAAACTACTTATTGAACCTGAAGAAACTATTTCAGAAAAACCAGCCAAAAAACCCAAAGAACCTGAAGAGGAAGAACAAATAACAATAAAATCTCCTAGGAAACCTAAACCAGAAGAAGAACCTGAAGAATTCAAACTTAAACCAATTAAAAAGCCAGATGAAGTTGACCAGGGTGAAGTGGTGTCCATTACTATACCTCCTGCTCCAAAGGAAGCCAAGGAAATTGAACCAAGGCCTGACGATGAAATTGATTTTACACCTATCGAATATGACGATATTCCAAAGAAAAAGAAAAAAGCAAAACCAAAAACGAAAGATTTGGAAGAGAAACCGTCTGAAGAAATTCCTGAAGAAATACCTAAGGCTGAGGATGACGCTGTGGCCGAAGTTACTTTCAAACCAAAATTCAAACCGACACCTACTACAGAAGAAGAAGTTCCAGAAGAAAGTGTTAAAGTTGTCATCAAGAAACAAGAACCTAAGCCTAAAGTGGAAGATGAAGTTGAAGCAGAAATAATTATATTAAAGAAAAAACCCAAGCCAGAAGAAGTAGGTGAGGCTGAGGTTGAAATAATAATAAAGCCTGAGGAAAAAGTAGAAGAAATTATTGAAGAGAAAGTTGTAATTAAAAAGAAGAGAGTTAAAAAACCTGTACCAGACGAAGCCTCTGCTGAACTCAAAGTCGAAAAAGAAGAACCAATTCCTGTGGAAGAAGTTAAAGTTGTTATAGTTGAAGAAAAACCAGAAAAAGAAGGTGTTTCAATTCAAGAATTAGAACCGGAAGAAATTCCAGAAGAATCAGCTATTCCACAAACTCCATCCGAGTTGCCTATTGTCGAAGAACCAACAGAAGAAGAACCTGAGGTTCAAAAACCACAAGCAATACAAGTAATTGTGGAGCTCACAGAAGAAGAGCCAGAAAAAGAAAAACCAGTTCTTGAAGAAGAAATTGTTGAAGTAGTTAAAATTAAAAAGAAAACTAAAAAACCTAAAGAAAAACCCTCAGAGGAAGTAGTTCCGGAAGAAATCATTCTGAAAAAGAAACCTAGCGAAGAACCTACTAAAGAAACAATAGTTGAAATTCAATTACCAATAATAGAAGAAAAACCAGTTGAGCCACTTCAAGAAGAAGTTGAGGAAACAATTAAAATACTTCCAAAGAAATTAACTCCTGAGGATGAAGGAGAAGCAGAAATAATAATCAAGAAGCACGTACCTGAAGAAGAAGTTGAAGAGACGCCTAAAGTTGAAGAAGAAGTTACTGTTTCTATAAGAAAACCTAAAAAATCTCCAAAGAAAATTGAAGAAGATGAAGCGGAGGTTGTTATAAAAAAAATAAAACCTGTAGACAAACAACCGGAAGCTGATAGTGCAGTTAGTGCCAGTTTTACGATTCCTGCAAGTGATGAAGGCGATTTGGCACTTAAGGTACCTCACGATGTGACCGAAATCAGTGCTGAAGCTGAGTTAGTAATAAAAGTACCAGAAGAAGAAGAAAAAGAAGTACCTACAGTAGTTGAAGAAGAAACGATCACTATAAAGAAGAGGAGGAAGAAGCCAGTTGCAAAAACTGATGCTGCACCTGAAGAGGTAGAAGTTATTATCAAACCTACACCAGAAACTGAAGAAGTTGAAGCTGAAGTTAAAGTTAAATCAAAGCCCGAAAAAGTGCCAGAAGAAGGAGAAGATGAAGTTAGTATTAAAAAACACGTGCCTATGCCTGACGAAGAAGAGACTATTGTTAAGCCCATTCCAGAAACTGAAGACGTTGAAGCTGAAATTAAAGTTAAACCTAAACCTGAAAAAGTGCCTGAAGTAGGTGAAGATGAAATCAGCATCAAAAAACATATTCCTGTACCCGACGATGATGTTAAACCGCAGCCGGAAGAAGAGGTTAAAGAGGAAGTAATAATAAAGAAAAAGAAAAAGAAGCGCGCGCCTCAACCTGAAGAAGAAATTACTGAGCAAGTTACTATTAAGCCCAAGCCTAAAGAGGAAGACGTGGAAGCTGAAGTAAAAGTACCTGTTAGGCCTGAAAAGGTACCGGAAGACGGCGAAGCCGAAGTAAGCATTAAAAAACACATTCCGGTGATCGAAGATGAAGAAGAAGTTGCAGTAAAACTTAAACCAGACGATGAAGTGGAAACTGAAACTGTTATTAAAAAACCAAAGAAACGTCCCACAAAATCTGATGAGGGTGAAGACGAAATAACTGTCAAAAGACACGTCCCAGTTAAACAAGATTCTACAGAAGAAGAAATAGACATTAAAAAGCCAACTGAACAAGACACTGAGGAAACTTTCAAACAAAAGAAATTAATAAAACCTACAACTGATGAAGGTGAAGATGAAGTATCTATTAAGAAATACGTTCCAGTTGAACCAGAGCCGGAAGAAGAAGCTGAAGCCGTTTTTATTAAAAAACCATTCAAGCCTGATGAAATACCTGAAGAAGTTGAAGCTGAAGTTACTATCAAAAAGAAGACATCTCCTGAACCAGAAGCAGCAGAAATTAAAATAAAGAAAAAAGTTCCACCAAAGAAACCACCAGTTGAAGAAGCTGCTGAAGAACTTACTGTTAAAAAACTGAAACCCATTCGCAAAGCTTCAGTACCTGAAGATGAAGATGACATTATTAAAGAAGAGGAAATTCCTTCTGTTACATTTAAGCCAAGAACTTCTACAACCAAAGAAGATGTTGAGCAAGAGTTCAGGATATCGCTCGACTCCTATGCAGAGGAAGAAATTAATTTATCTTCAAAAATAAAACTGAGAAAGCCCAAAAAGAAAACTTTCGGTGAACAAGCAGCAGAAGAATCTGTTAGAATTATCGAGGAAGTTGAAAGTGAAGGTCCGGCAATAGAAGAAATCATTGACGAAGGCAGTGACGCCGAGGACCTTCCATTGGACGAAGATGAAGTTTCCGAAAACTTCCATGTAGCCTTTAAAAGGAAACCTTCGAGAAAATATTCAGTTGTACACGAAGATGAAGAAGATATCAGCCTTAGTATTAAGAAACCATATACGAAGGATGATTATGGAGAGTCTGCCATTGATGTCACGATCAAACCGAAGAGAAAAGACTCAGTTTCATTATCAGGTAATAATGGTTTTGGTATTTAGTTTTTTTCGGTAATATGAATTATTGGTTCTTGTAGAAGCGGACGTATCTTTGAGTATCACTAAGGAAAAGGAAATAGAAAAGGTAACGATTATTCATGAAGAAGAGGTGCAACAAGGAGATGTGTACTATTCGGTTACTTTTTACGATGCTGAAGCTGAGCAAGCTTGCGACCTAGTTGAAGGTGAAAAGGTTTACGTAGTAGAAACACAAGGTGAGGATCTTTAATAGCGGTATTTCCAATTCAGATTTTTCTGAAGTTAATATCATTTGACGTAACAGGAGCAGTGTCTTAACTTTTAGCCAATTACTTGTTGTTTCATGTTTTATTGCTTTTCTAGACGAATGGTGGTTCGTGAAGAAACATCTCACGGAAGACAGTGGATGGGTACCATCAAACATTCTCATGGACGAAGAACAATATATCCAATTTGTTCAAAAGAAACTCAATGAGAAGATCGATAAATTGCCTGTTCTTGAAAGTAAGTTTTTCAGTCTTTCAGTTGTATTAACTTTAATTTATAATTTTTTTCACAGAGCCAAAAGCTCCAGAAAAACCACGAGCTCCCAAATTCCTTGAAAAGCTTAAACCTATAACCACACACGACGGTTTTACAGTAACATTCCAATGTAAAGTGGAAGGATATCCACGACCACAAGTAACTTGGTTCCGTCAAACTCACATCATAAAAGAATCCATAGATTTTGAAATGTACTACACCGAAGAAAACGTTGCTTTACTTGTTATTAAGGAAGTTTTTCCTGAAGATGCTGGTACTTTCACCTGCGTAGCCAAAAATTCAGCTGGATTTGCTTCTAGCACAGCCGAGTTGACTGTTGAAGGTCCTTTATCTTCCCATGGAACTGACAGGACACATTCAATTTCCAGAAAGAGTCTTTCCAGGACTTCTTCATTGGCTGACATACTTGATGGCATGCCACCAGTGTTTGCTAAAAAACCAAAAACACAAAGTGTACCTGAAAATGAAGATATTACAGTTGAAGCTGTGTTAGCTGCCATTCCAGAACCTGATATTAAATGGTATAGGAATGGAAAGAGGATAAGTACAAAGGAAAATATTACTATTACAACTACTAGTGAAAATTACACTTATACCACGACAATGAAAATAAGTAGAATCACTAAAAAACACCATGAAGGTCGCTACAAAATTGTAGCTAAAAACAGGGAAGGTCATGCTACAGCAGAATTTACTTTAAGAGTACGTTCTGCAGAAAAGGAACCTCCAGAAGTAGTGGAACCTCTTCAATCTACCACAATTAGGAAAGGAGAAAGCATTACACTAACCACAACTATTGTGGGTAATCCCGAACCTGCCTTACAGTGGTTTAAAAATCATAAACCATTAGAATTATCACCTAGAAGAAATGGTGATACTTATACAGTATTAATTGAAAATGCTCAACCTAGTGATCAGGGAGAGTATACCGTTAAGGCCAGAAATCCCATGGGAACTGCTGAGACAAGTGCATTCCTGACTGTACAAGGTAATAATTAAAGTTGCTTATTATATAAATTATAGAAAATTTATTTAATTCGCTTCGTTTTTTTTTTTAGACTTGCTGCCGCTTTATATGCTTTCAATCAGCTTCCTCTTTGAAGCCTTCACTGCTGCTACTTTGCTTATTTTTTTATTAAATTTATTTTTGAATATTTTTTTATTTATTTTTCCACCCATACCAACTAACATAATGTACCAATGTTTGCCTAATATTAAAAAAATAATTCGAATTTGAGCTTTGTGATATTCGCTGCTTCTTCCTGTGTAAATATTGTTAATTTTTTTAAAGTATTTTTCTGCGTTTTTTTAGAATTCCCCGACAACACCGAACCACCTCTCTTCGTCAAACGTTTCGAAGAACAAAACATTCCCGAAAAAACTCCCCTTATATTGAGAGCCAAAGTAACTGGCAATCCACAACCAGAAGTCACTTGGTTGCTCAATAACCAACCCCTCGAATCATCCGACAGGGTCAGAATCCTTTATGATGGAGAAAATATTGAACTTACCATCAAAGAAACCAATTCCGAATTAGATTCAGGAGTTTATAAATGTGTAGCCACAAACTCAATGGGAAGAGCTTCTCATGGCGCTTCAGTTAATGTTGAAGTTGATACTGTTAAGTTCACTAAGAAGCTTCAAAAATCTTACAAAACATTCGAAAGAGAAACTATTGAACTTGAATGTGAGACTTCACATTCTGTTAGAACTAAATGGTGGTTCAATGAAACTGAAATTAGTGGAATGGATCATAGGGCAGTTGTACATGATGGAAGAACTCATAAATTGATTATTAAAAATATTTCTAAGAATGATGAAGGCAACTATAAATGTACTGTTAAGAATCAAAAGACAGAGACTATAGTCAATGTTGAACAAAGAAAGCTTGAATTCGTCAAAAAACTAGAAGATTTGGAAATTACCGAGAAGGACAGTGCTATTTTGGAAGTTGAAATTACTTCAGATACTGCAGAAGTTATTTGGCTTAAAGATGGTCTTCCAATTAACACTGACGATAAATTTGGAACTGAAAAAGATAAAGGAGTTCGGAAACTGCTTATTAGGTCAACTTCTATTCATGACGAAGGTGAATACACTTGCAGACTTTTGGAACAAGAATGCAAAGCTGATGTAACTGTAATAGAACTGCCTCCAGAAATTATTACCCCTCTCCAAGATAAGACTGTCACAAAAGGTGAAAAGGCTGTATTTGAAATTGAACTATCCAAAGGAGATGCTATGGTTAAATGGTACAAAGACAACAAAGAAATTTCATTTTCAGAACATATTCAATTATCTATTGATGGAAAAACTCAAAAACTCAAAATTTATAAATGTGAACTTGAAGATCAAGGCACTTACACATGTAAAGTTGGTAAACAATCATCGAGTGCCTCACTCACGGTGAACGTGGCTTCGTGCTTATGGATTAAGCCTCTACCAGAAGAAACCATCGTTCCAATAAATACTGACGCTGAATTTGAAGTTGAACTGTCTAGAGAAGATGCTGAAGTCACTTGGTGGCGAAAAGAAACCAAAATTGAAGCAAGTTCTAGATACAGTATCACCAAAACTAAGACATTTAGAAAATTGGTGGTCAAAACAGTTACATTAGAAGACCAATACGACTACACTTGCACTGTGGAAAAATACAATTTGAAAACATCGTCAAAATTGAAGGTTGGTGATAAACCGAGCCCGCCGAGAGGCCCATTGGAAGTATCAGGAATGACTGCACAATCCTTCACCATTCAATGGAAGCCGTCTGAATATGATGGAAACTCAGAAATTTTGGAATATATTGTTGAAATGAAAGATGTTAAATCCAAAAGGGACTTTAAGAAAATTGGCAGTACCAAAGGTAACATCACAGATTTGGGTGTATGTGAACTCAAAAAAGATCATGGGTATAAATTCAAAATATATGCCAGAAATGCTCTTGGAACTAGTGAACCATATTGCCCAGAAGATGCCATTGTTGCTGGTTCTAGAATAAGTAAGTTAATTAAAAAAAAAATAATAATATGCGTTGGGTGCAACGTTTCAATGTAAATCGATCCTGGACAAATTTAAATTGAATTTTTAATCGAGAGAGTTTTCTTGCTATTTTGATGCGACTTGTTTGTTCATTGAATAAGGCGTTGATATGAAGCTTAGTCTTCCTGATTTAGGGACGAGAACGCGATCATATGAGATAGTTTTATTTGTCCTATGATATTGACGTTGAAATGTTGCACTCTGTATTAGCTCAAATCCGCTTCCTAATGCTTTATTGCTTATCTTCACAGGAATTGAATATCATTTTGCTAAAACTGATCAAACCATGTATTGCTTGCTTGGCATTTTCCCACCTGCTAATGCTATCCATAAGAGTAAGTAGAACCAATCAGCTTCATTCACCTAATGCTTCTTTGCAAAAAGCGTTTCCTAACAATGTATGTTCTTCACTAGAAGTGCTGGAACATACTTAAATTAAAAAACAAATAGTTCATTACCTAATTAGCTACTTACTGTGTTATTTCCCATCCAAATCTAGCTCCTCCTTCACCACCAATCAACCTCAAAGTCAAAGACCTAACAAGTCGCAGTGCTACCATCACCTGGGAACCTCCACTAAACGATGGAGGTAGCGAGGTAACCGGCTACGTTCTGGAAAGAAAACTCGAATATATGCCACATTGGGAAAAAGTTTGTACTTTAGAGGCATTTAGTTTGGAATACACATTCGAAAACCTCAAGGAAAAGAGCGATTATGTGTTTAGGGTATATGCGGAAAATGTTATCGGGTTGAGCGCTCCGGCTCAAACCGGTATAATTCAGATGAGAACTTTGGCAAGTAAGTGTCCTGTTTTTTTTTTAGTTTCAAAACATCTGATATGTTCGAATTATTTTTTTCAACAGCGGTACCGTCACCACCAACAGCTCCATTGGAAATTCGTACCATTGGGCCGAACGCAATAGTTGTAGAATGGGGAATACCTGAGTCTGATGGTGGAGCTCCATTACTTGGATATAATATTGCTATTAAAGTAAGTAACGACCAATACCCTTCGTATTTTTCATAACATTGTTTGTGATTTCAGGACACCAAAAAGACCATGTGGATGGAAATTGGCAAAACACCAAAAGGTTTACAAAAGTTTACTATTCGTGATCTACAAGAAGACCACGAATACATGATAAGAATATTTGCCAGGAACGAAATTGGGTTGAGTGGTCCTTTAGAATCCGATGAACCTTTCAAAGTGTTACCATCAGGAGAGACGGACCAAGACGACTTCAGGGAAGTCACCTCAGAACGAGAGCCAACTTCGAGAAGCTCAGAAACAACGACTTCCTGGCTCAGAGAAAACAGTATGGACGCTGATATATCGTCCTACCAGAAGGGCAAACTATTACGTAAAGATGAATACTTCTTCAGGATTTGGTGCTACGCCACCAAACTGTTCAAGTAAAACTGTAGGTCACTATTATTATTATTATTTTTTTTCTTTATTTTTGTTTGTACGGATGTAAATAATTTTTATTTTTAAGCTGTATGTTTTATATACTATTTATTATATATTTCAATAATGATATTTCCTGAGATTGACTTTAAAAAAAATATGTCCTTATTTAATGCCTTATGTTAAAATTATGTTAATTGAAAATGCGAGTTGTGAGCGAACACAGAAGTAATTTAATAAAATATAATATTAACATAAGGTCTATTAAAGATACACTGTGATACCAATATAAAGGAGATTTACAATGGCGAATTATGTGCCTTATGATGATGCTAAATTTTGACTTTATTATACGAATTTTACGACTACATATTACTGCTATATAAAAATGTAGACATTGTACAATTATTTTTATTCGATGCCATATTTTAATATTTGTCGATATACTCGTTATTTATTTATTTTACTTTGAATATCATTTTTTTGAGCAAATTAATAATGTGAAACGTTTGAGAGACTAAATATAGGTGCATGATAAAAAAAAAAACTGTTATTGATGATGCTCAAAACAATGATATAATTTTTATGTTAATTTGAGTTCCAAGAATATATATTTGTCGATTATTAAAAAAATTGTTTCATTTTTACCTTTACTAACTCGTTCATTGAATTTTCAAATATAATATAAAGATGTGCGTAGGTATGTTCAAATTTTCAACAAACTTTCAATGTAAGATTTGTAATTCCACCTACTAAAAGAGCATAAAAATAAATGTCCATAAAAATCCTACATCTACAAACGAACTACTGTGGTACATACAGCGCAAATATATACGCAGATTATCAGAAAATACTATTGTGGTTAGCAAAAAACACTGCTCAAATAAACTGGGAACAAGCAATATACTACCGATCATCACCAAAGATTACCTACCTATACAAAGTCCATGGATTGGTACCATACAAGCAAGCCAACCTTACCTAAACTCCAACCTGAAGCACAAGAAACTCTTCTAAGTATATATATATTTTTTTTACCTACCTAATAATATTTCAAATACCTATGTGCATCGTTCTCTACATGTATATTAATTTCATTTTTCTCTGTCAAGGTCCTACAAGTGATAACAAAATTCCTGGAGAAGTTACTACCAAGGATAATCCAGAAGCAAATGATGCTTTACAAGAAAAATCCGCCGTAGACGAAAAAAATTATGCTCCATCAACTTTTATCAATCAACAAGTGGGAATGTCAAAAACTACACGAGATAAAGAAAGTGAACATGATACAAAAGTACCAAAACCAGGAAAGCAAATCAATAAGCTAACAAAGGAGAAGAGGCGCGTCCGATTTCAAGAAGAAATTCAAAAAGATAATGCGGAAGAAAAGCAAAATTTTATAGAGGAACAACTGAACAAAACAGAAATTAAAGCTGAGAAATCTGAAAAAGCAAAAAGTAAGTAGGTAATTAAACGTGCAAAAATGTTCTTGGACTAAGTTTATTTATCTAATTGATAATTTGTCTTTGTGACGTAATTGGCACTTATTTGTGCAGGCAAACAAAAATTAATTAGTTTAAAGTAACGCTTTTTTTTTCAATTAAATCTCGTACGATTACGAGTACTAAAAATAAAACTGCTGGGCTTTTTGGAATGGATTCGCCTTGCATACTTGTATTCTTTACTTAGATAGTGAGCTATTATTATTAAGTATACTAGGAAAGTGGGTGTGAATATGTGCCGCTGCAATTTGTTCAAAAATATCAGGTCAGTTTTTACGTTATTTAGACAAATTTTTGAAATATTCATTTATTTATTTAGGTATTTATTTATTTATGTATTCATATTGCGCTTTGCCGAAGCAATTTAAAACCCTAAGCCAAATGAGCTCTTCAGAGAATTAATTGTCTGAAAAGTATTGTGGCGCTTTCGCCAGGCTGTACAGAAACTAACCTGAATCTAGAAAATATTGCATTATTCAGGCAAACAGACTATCGGGAATAATAACACGAGAGCTTCAAAATTACCGATAATTTTTATCTGGTTCATTTTAAAGCTCAAGTGGTATTTAGAGGATTATTTCACGTATGAGAATGCAAAAAATATAGAAATAAATATGTATTAAACGATTTGAACATCTTAACAATCAATACAAATAAATGGTTGCTATCAGGAACCGTTTGTTTGTATCAAAAATTAGCATGACATCCATGTATAAAATAACATGGGAGAATTATCGCTTTAATTCTCTCTAGTTAAACAAATGGAAAAGAGAATTTTCGCTGTAATTCTGAAAATCGTCACTTATCTTATGGGATTTCTAACACATGAGTGGAATAATCGCGTTTATTCTGGATTTGACAAGAATGGAATACGGATATGTAAAGGCCGGTATTAGCTAGTAAATTTTTGAGTTTTAAGTTGACTGTGATACGATTTAGGTGCTGATCATTGTTTGAGTTAATTAGTGAAGTAATTAGTGTCAAATTTAAGTTACCTGGAATAAATTATTGTTGTATTAATTAGACTTTGATTTTGGAATAAACAAACCAAAAATTCCAGTCACGCGCGCAGCCCAGAGTCGTGACATTGGTGTCAGAAGTGGAATGTACTTCGAGGACTGCAAAGTGAAATCCGATTGCAGAGTAGTGTGGACACTATTTCGGACACTAAGTTAACACTGGGACAAGTAGTCAGTGTAAGCAGTGACAATCACAAAAAGAGACTTAAGGCCGAAACCCACTAGCAACACGCCACGCCACCCCACGCCATATGACACAGGTGCACGTGGGACAGTTTGTGTGCAAATGGACGGATGGCGAGGCGTGCCATGACGTGGTATCGCGTGTGGCAATCGTGTACGCGGCACATATAAATAAATGGAAGAATATACGCATACATTTTCGTCACATGGCGTGGCGTGGCGAAGTATGACGTGGCGTGTTGCTAGTGAGTTTCGGCCTTTATCCGATTGTGTAAATTACCCCGGAAGTGACTGTATACCCGATTTTTACTGTGATAGTGAATCTTCAAGTGAGTTCTAGAAAATTCTATTTGGAAACCAAGGGAGATATCGAATTTGTGACTTCACCGCCGTATTTGATACATCAATCGTCAGTCAGAAAAAGAATTTCGAGGAATTTCGGAAAAATTCTGAAACATTCTATTTGGAAACCAAGGAAGATATTGAGTTTGTGACTTCACTGAAGTGTTTGCTATATTAATCGACATTCAGAAAAGATAAGAAAATTTTAGAATATTCTATTCGAGAATAAAGCAATAAGCTATCCAATTTGTGACTTCACCGACTTGTTTGGAACTTCAAGAGAGAGAAGCTAAACAACAACAAAAAAAAAACAAGACGAAGAGGCCAGGCAACAAAAAGAGAAACAAGAAGAAGCTAAACGACAAAAAGAAAAACAAGAAGAAGAAGATAGGCGACAACAAGAAGAGGCTAGGCGATAACAAGATAACAAGAACCTCAAGAAGAACTTGGAAAATTGCAGAAAATATTTCAAACCATACAAGGAACAGTCGCTAACCTAGAACAATAGATTGAGGAAGTAAAAGCCGAAGTTAAAGATAATGTTCAAGAAGTTAAAGACGATGTGCAAGAAGTTGGAAACGACGTCCAGGAAGTGAAAGCAGGGGTCAAAGCCGATGTCCAGCAGTTAAGACAAGAAGTTGAGAAGCAAGTTCAAGCACTCGAAGATAAGAAGAATAAATTAGAAATACAGTCCATCAATCGAGTTAGTGTTGGGGCATTCTCTAGTATGAAGATAAAACCACCAACTTTTGACGGCTCTACGTCCTGGAGCATGTAGGTATATCCGACAATTTGAAGCTGCTGCGAAAACCAACGAATGGAACGATCAAGAAAAAGCAACAGCACTGATAGTGGCGCTACGAGGACCTGCCTTAGATTTTCTTCAGTCCGTTCCTTTAATCTACCCACAGAATTACCAGCATCTAAGTCAGACATTAGAATTGCGCCTCGGAAACCATCACAGATAAGAAGTATTTGGAACTCAAGTTAAATCAGGAATTCAAAAACCCGGCGAGAGTTTACAAGAATTCGAATCGAAAGTTGAAAGGCTAGTGAGATTGACGTTTGCTGCAGCTGGAGAAGACATGCAGGAATGGATGGCAGTATCTGCGTTTATTGATGGTCTCAGAGATTCCAAGATCCAGGAAAACCTGTGAATGTCTAAGTTGAGACAAAGTAGCGAAGTCCTTGTCCAAGCATTGGAACTGGAAGCAATCTTTGGTGCCTCACGACCCAGAATACGAGCAGTGTCCATTGAAGAACCAAAGGATAAACAGCTATCAAAAAAGGGATGGTAGTTTCGAGAATGTTATGACTAATTTCATAGAGGAAATAAATAAACCATTACTAGAAGATTAATGATTAAAAACTCCAATTTAATTTAATCTCCGGTTGAATTCAAAGTTGGCGTCAAATGATAGTTTATGGAAATCTAAGATAGGACTGTAAAATCGGTTTTCCTCTAAAATTAACCGTTCAGGTTTTACAGCCTGTCAAAGTTGCAAAAAGTCAATTTTCAACTGTCAATATTTCCAAAACAGTTGAACTTAGGTATAGGGTATATCACATGAAATCTGCTCAGAATTTTACGTAGAATCCAAATATGCAATCACATACAGGGTATTCTATTTGAAATAGCGATGTTGCCACTGGTTTAGAGTAGAAGCGGCAACACCGCATGGTCAAAAGTGTTTTTAGAGTGTAGATCATGGCCGTTTATCCCGGTCGCCAAATTTTCAAAATAATCCGCTTTTTAGTTCTCCATAAACGTCTAATACGCCATCCACTGTGGGACACCCTGTACCTATATTTTTTCCACAAACGTCAAAAAATGACGAATTTTTTAACCTCAATTTTTAATGTTGAAGTTTGACTTCACAGACGTCATTTTTTTGGTTACTTTTTTGTCCGCGCGTTCCGTGAGCGTACTACAAAAAAGTACTTTTTTCTCCGAATGACAGTAAAAACTGCCCTTTAATGACACTTGACAGGATCAAAAGTTGTATTTTTACTGCCTAGGTAGTAAAAGTGGACTTTTACTGCCTATTGTTTGCCCAGCGGATCTGAGTCTACGGAAGGAATTCGGACGTAAATGTGCCATGTTGTCACGTTTAATTATAAAAAAGCGAAAATACTAGGCATGAAGTATAGTTCATTTGAAAATCCATTTTTTAATAACAAAATATAGTTACCAATAAAACGCTAAAAGTTTCAATGTGGTTGTTAGATCTATTCTTATTCTAATAACTGATTTCTTCAATTTTGTCCATTGTAAAAAATAAACATTTTCTAAAGATACCATTAGTTTTTGACAATTTGGCAAGCATCCGGCCTGGATGAACCTGATTGGTGGATTTTTTGGCAGGATGGCCGTTGCCACGAGGAACCATGTCCTTGTCAATGGACTAAACGTCACCTTACGTCTCGCTATTGGTCAGGGCTTCTGTCATTGTATCCTCCCATCTTGGAATATCGATTTATATTGAAATATCCAGTGGCGGGGGTTTGGTCATTTTTGATTTTCGTGTAGGAGTTGCAATACGATAACACTTCCAAAAAATTCCGCACGCAGCTGGGTATTT